GGGACAGGGGGACACGGGGACAGTGTTGTCCCACCTGGCGCCGCCGCCGCCCAGCACCAGGGCGATGGTGTTGCCGGTGAGGACACGCGCCAGGCGCGAGAAGTCGCTGTGCCGGTCGGCGCTCTTCTCGAACACCTTCTCGTACATCTCCCGCTGCGGGGCGGCGGGGACAGAGCCGGTGACAACGGCGGCCGTGGAGAAGGGCCGCGCCCCGGGGGCAGGGGTGGCGGGGGGACGCTCACCAGCTTGGCGGGGCCGCGGCGCGAGAAGACGCGCCGGGGGCAGCGGATGTGCAGGTGGCCCGAGCACCAGCTGCGCATGTTGAGCCACTCGACGGTGCGCGCCGGGCCGGCGCCGTCCTCGCGGTGCAGCAGCACCAGCTGCTTCAGCGCCCGCACCGCCGCGTTCTCCAGCATCTGCTCCAGCTGCGGCGGCACCGCCGCGAGGCCGCGTCAGCGCCGGGGCGCCGGGGCGCGTCCCGAGCGGGCTGTCGCGTGTCCCACCTCGCCCAGGGCGGGCTCCTGGTCGCCCAGCCCCACGATGAGGACGCAGTCGGCCTGGCGGATGCAGCGCAGCGTCCACGGCGTCAGCGTGCAGTCGGTCTGGTAGAGCACGATGCGGTGCAGGTCCTCCTGCTGCGCCAGCCAGCCCGACAGCCGGTACTCCTGCAGGCTGCCGCGGGCGCCCGGCCGTCAGCGGCGGCTGACGAGCGCTGACCGCGCCGCTGACCGCGCCGATGACCGCGGCGATGACCACGGCACTGACCACGGCACTGACCGCTGACCGCGCCGCTGACCGCGGCGATGACCACGGCACTGACCATGGCACTGACCATGGCACTGACCGCTGACCGCGCCGCTGACCACACCACTGACCACGGCACTGACCACTGACCACGGCACTGACCACTGACCACGGCACTGACCGCTGACCACGGCACCAACCACACCACTGACCATGGCACTGACCACTGACCACGGCACTGACCACTGACCACGCCGCTGACCGCTGAGCGCAGCGCTGACCGCTTACCGCGGCACTGACCGCGCCGATGACCACGGCACTGACCGCTGACCACGCCACCAACCACACCACTGACCACGGCACTGACCACTGACCACGGCACTGACCACTGACCACGGCACTGACCGCTGACCACGGCACTGACCGCTGACCACGCCACCAACCACACCACTGACCACGGCACTGACCACTGACCACGGCACTGACCATGGCACTGACCGCAGCACTGACCACAGCACTGACCACAGCACTGACCGCTGACCGCGCCGCTGACCACGGCACTGACCACTGACCACGGCACTGACCACTGACCACAGCACTGACCGCTGACCGCGCTACTGACCGCGCCACTGACCACGTCACTGACCACAGTGCTGACCACATCACTGACCACGGAACCGACCACGCCACTGATCATGCCACTGACCACGCTGCTAACCACACCACCAACCGCACCACTGACCACGGCACTGACCCCGCCACCGACCACGCCGCTGACCACGCCACCAACCGCGCCACCAACCGCGCCACCGACCGTACCGCCAACCGCGCCACCGTTACCTCTCCAGAGCCGAGGAGCCCAGGCGGGCGCGGATGATGTCACTGGTGAGGAGCAGCGTGGGGCCTGTGGAGGTGGGGATGTGGTCATCACCATGACGTGGTCACCACTGTGCCATGGAGGCTGTGGTCACCTCCACGCCCAGGTCACCATGCCATGGTTGCCACCATGCCCACCATGCCCACCACAGCCATGACCAGGACCGCCCTGTGGGGCTGCAACCATCCCCGCCCCAGGCCACCAGGTCACCAGGCCATGGTCACCACCATGCCATGGAGGCTGTGGTCACCTCCAGGCCCAGGTCACCACCACACCATGGTCACCATCATGCTGTGGTCACCGTGCCGTGGTTGCCACCATCCCACCGTGGTGCCCACCATGACTAGGACCACCCTGTGGGGTGCAACCATCCCCGCCCCAGGTCACCAGGTCTCCAGGCCATGGAGGCTGTGGTCACCTCCACACCATGGTCACAATCATGCTGTGGTCACCATGCCATGGTTGCCACCATGCCACCGTGGTGCCCACCACGGCCAAGACCACCCTGTGGGGCTGCAACCATCCCCACCCCAGGTCACCAGGTCTCCAGGTCTCCAGGCCATGGAGGCTGTGGTCACCTCCACACCATGGTCACAATCATGCTGTGGTCACCGTGCTGTGGTTGCCACCATCCCACCGTGGTGCCCACCACGGCCAAGACCACCCTGTGGGGCTGCAACCATCCCCGCCCCAGGTCACCGGGGCGCCGTGACCCACGGTGGGTGGGTGACCGTCCGATGGTCGCCGCCGCGGCCGCTCACCGATGGCGTTGAGCGCGTGCTGCAGCTCCAGCGTGAAGGCCGCCATGGGCACCTCGTCGCACACGGGCAGCACCGCCACCGTCGACAGGTTGCTGGTGGGGTTGATGGGCTCCGAGCTGGAGGCCATGCCCAGGCCGGACCCTGGGTGGACGCCGAGGAGTGGACACGCCGCCCCGGTGACGGCCGCCAGCCCCTGGAGGCCACCCCGTTGTGCCCAGGTTCTACCTGCAAAGGGCCCGCGGAGCTGCTGGAGGTTCCCCAGGATCTTCTGGCTCAGGAGGTGGATGAGGCGGGTGACCACCTGTGGGGACGGGGACAAGGACGGCCATCAGACGTGGCAGACACTCGTCAACGCCCAAGTGTCCTACAGCGGTTTTTGGGTGCCACCACCACTGCCTGTCCTTGGAGAGACCTCTGGTGCCACCACTCCCCATTCTTCAAGACCTCAGGTGCCACCAACCCTCACTCTTGGGGACCTCCGGTGCCACCGCTCCCCATCCGTGAGAACCTCAGGTGCCACCACCACCACCCATCCTTCAAGACCTCGGGTGCCACCACCCCTTCCTCCAACAGCTTCAGGAACTCCTTAATTGAAGCTGGTTTTAATTAGAGCCACAGCCACCAGCCAGGGTGGTGGACATCTCGGGTGGACACCCAGGGGTACCTGCGGGTATCGGCGCTTGATGTTGTTGAGGGTCCCCTCGGGCAGCTTGGCCAGCTCCGTGTCCCTCACCGCGTGCACCGTGGTGGCCCGGGGCTGCCGCGTCAGCGCCTCCACCTGCGGCGGGGTGGTGGGGACGAAGCCATGGAGCCACCACCCGAGGAGGAGGAGGTCGGAGCACCGCTGTGTCCCCGGCGGGGTGGTGGGGACGAAGCCATGGAGCCACCACCCGAGGAGGAGGAGGTCGGAGCACCGCCGTGTCCCCACCGAGGTGTCCCCACCACCGTGTCCCCAGCCAGGTGTCCCCACCCAGGTGTCCCCGGGGTGGCACTCACCACGCCCACCAGGTCGCCGCGGCCGTACTCGCCCACCAGCTCCTTCTTGCCGCTGCCCTTCTGGATGACGGAGCGCAGCCGCCCGTTGAGCACGATGTAGGTGCAGTCCGACTTGTCCCCCTGCCTGGGGACAGCGCCCGTGGCACCCCTCTGGTGGACCTCACCCAGTTGAGGTGGACACCTGGGTGTGGTGGCTCACCTGTAGAGCGCCCGCCCGGCCTCCACGGCCATCCAGTCGATGGCGAAGTCCATCTGGCGCACGAAGGGCGACATGCGCGCGGCCACGGTGTGGGCGACGCTCAGCACCACGCTGGGCTGCTCACGCATGATCCTGCGTGGGGACAGGGCAAGGTGGTGACCACAAAATGTCCCCCCGCCTCCACCGTGAGGTGGGGAGCTCCACAGAGCGGCCCAGGGAGGAGGGGAACCACCAGGATCATGGTGGCCTCGGTCGGGACACGCCGGAATTCCACCCTGGAGGTGGGAACGGTCCCTGGGGAGATGTTCTGGTGGTGGGAGCATCCCATAGAGATGTGGGACCACCCCGAAGTGATGGGGAACCACCCAAAAGTGATGTGGGACCACCCCAAGGAGATGTGGGACCACCTCAAAGAGATGTGGGACCACCCCGAAGTGATGGGGACCCACCCCAAGGAGATGTGGGACCACCCCAAAGAGATGTGGGACCACCCCAAAGTGATGTGGGACCACCCCAAAGTGATGGGGAACCACCCTGAAGTGATGAGGAACCATCCCAATGTGATGAAGAGCCATCCCAAAGAGATGAGGGACCACCCCAAAGTGATGGGGAACCACCCCAAAGTGATGGGGAACCACCCAAAAGTGATGAAGAACCATCCCAAAGTGATGTGGGACCACCCAAAAGTGATGAAGAACCATCCCAAAGAGATGAGGAACCACCCCAAAGAGACGTGGGATCCCCGAGGTCACGGCGAGCACCGCGAAGCGACGGAGATCCACCAGGAGACGATGGGGTCACAGCCACACCAGGTCCTGGTGGCCCTCCAAGGACACCAAAGGACACGGACTCACTCGTAGAAGTCGGACTTGGAGATCTTGAGGAAGGTGCAGTCGCGGTTGGCCTTGATGGTGAAGATGAGGGGTTCCCCGGTGAGCACGGCCAGCTGTCCCACCATCTCGCCGGGCTGCGTCAGGAACAGGCACACGTCCTCCTCCTTGTCGATCATGCGCTGGTACACGTGCAGGCACCCCCAGAGCACGAAGTGCAGGCTCACGTCCTGCCAGAAATGTCCC